CGAGGTTTACATGGCCTGGCGCCGTCCTATCTGAAAGAGCTGCTGACGCCTTATGTACCCCCTAGACGACTCCGCTCATCCGATAGTGGCAAACTCTCGACACCACGTGTTCACCTTGAGACTTACGGAAAGCGCACTTTCGCATTTGCTGGTCCAACAATTTGGAACGCCCTTCCTGTCAATCTCAGAAACAACCAGACACTGGAGTCCTTTAAAACCGATTTAAAGACACATCTATTTCGCAAACACCTTCTGGGATGATTGTCTACCTTATTTTCCAGTTAATGCATATTGGATGTGTTGCTTATGGTTGAAATGGCTAGAAAGACTTTGCAATTGTATGCTTGTAATTAGTTTTTGTAGTGTTGCGTTTGTTTTAAATGTGGTAAATTATAGATTTGTTTTTTGTTGACTTTGTACCGCGCTTCGAGCCTTTGGGGATGAAGCGTGTTTTTGAAATCAACTTTATTATTATTATTATCTACAAATAGGTCTTAATCTACAAATAGGTCTTTTCTAGAAATATGTCTAATTTAAAGTTCACTCTTATCTACAAGTAGGTCTTTGGTGTTTTAATTTTAACTAATAAAACAGCATTCTTAAAGCAAAAAGTAATTATAATTAAACTGATTTCTCAAACATTATCCTTACCCTTTTCAGTGGAGTAATTATTATAATTACTGCGTAAAAATAAAATGCAAAATATGTTTATTTTCAAGACTCAAGTAGGTTTATAATTCCGGGTACAATTGATCATGTCTTGTATCTGCTGAGAGTGAATTGACCACCAGGAGAGCAAGAATGGAAGAAATAGTAAAAGTTCAAAGAAGCTGCTCATTGTGACCTTATCTCTTCCTTAAATCTCTGCCCCCCCCCCTATCCCGGATTAAAGAAATGAGACTCGTTCGCAACAACGTAGCTCAGAAATTCTTACACACCAAACGCATATAATTTTTTTTTTTTTTTGTTTGTTTGTTTAAAGCATATCCTTTAGTGCAGTTGTTGGACCTTTTAGAAGAAATAGTAAAAGTTTAAAGAAGCTGCTCATTGTTACCTTATCTCTTCCTTAAAACTCTGCCCCCCCCCCTATCCCGGATTAAAGAAATGAGACTCGTTCGCAACAACGTAGCTCAGAAATTCTTACACACCAAACGCATATAATTTTTTTTTTTTTTTTGTTTGTTTGTTTAAAGCATATCCTTTAGTGCAGTTGTTGGACATTTTATGTCGTGAAGTAAGAGCATTATTTTCTTAATGTTTTCTTTTAATGATGGGGTGGTGCTTGAAAAGTAAAAGAATGTGCTGTTATCGGCAAAGAGTCTATGTAACAAGTTTCACTTCGACAGATGGACGGGAAATGTGTAAATTAGCTTTCCGAAGATTTTGGCAGCAAGCTACCACCCCATCAGCCAGCCACCAACAAAAGTGAAGTTAATATTAGACCACAAAACCAATCAGGCAACAACCCCTTTTTAATAAATAAAAGGAGCAACATTTCTGCAAAGTTACGGTTGTCGCTCGTTCTGACCGAATTGAATTTACATGATTTATTCAATCGCTCTTCACGCAATGAATGAATGCGTACAATATTTACTAGTAGGGTGCACCTTTATAAACTCCATTTTGTGATTAAAATAAATCTTTGGCACCGTTGGTTACGGCTAATTCAAGAATTATTTTACTCTGCTTTCTGGTGACGTCATTGAATAATGACACATTAAGGACAGATCAGTTTGTTTTATTATGTGTTAATGGGAAAGTACTTTTTTTTAAAATTTAAAATAATTCCCCCTGTAACATTTGCGATATTACTTTGCTTAAAGCTAATTTTCTCATTAGAAGTCTCGAAGTGGATACAAATATCATATGCCAAAGTCTTTATTTTTAAAAAAAATAATGTTCTATGTAACCATATCTCTAGCGCTACCAAAGGGCACTGATTTCATTTAAAGTATGTTAACGATAACTTCGCTAAATGAGATTCTTCAAAATCCTGCAAGTGCGTTTGGTGCTTAATATTTTCTTTGCTTTACGGAAACAGTCTCAATTTAATTATGTTGTTATAAATCTGTGGTGTAAAAGGGTGGGGGTGGGACTTTAGAATATATTAATATAGTTCATTGGGCGTGGAAAAGTGTGTGGTTCCGAACCTGGGGGGGGAGGGGGGGGGGGGGCGCACATTTGGATTTTTTTAAAGTGCCTTATTTAGATGCATGTTTCGTCAAGTATTTTTAGTAGATGGGAAGTTCACGTATTGCGGCTACCATTGTTTGGCGCGCTATAGCTAGTCTTATAATATGATTCCCGAGTGAATCGTGTGCGGCCCGCTCATATTGCGCACCGTGATGCGCTCTAATTTGCTGCTTTCCCGTCCTGCGTTTGGTCACGTACGCACCACATTTAATGTACGCAGAGGCAATTTAACTATACATAGGTGGATACATCGAGCGACATCTTGAATCATACATTATGTACCTCTTCCCGTATTTTAAACGCACAACGTGGTTAGGTTGTCCCAGTTAATTTACAATATATATATTAAAAGTATTTATAGCTTCTTCGATTTCATATGTAAAACACCTCATATGCAAATCCTGTATTAAAGTAAAATATTCAATAGACACGTATGTAAAGCAAAGCTCTACAAAGATCTGACGAAATAAACACTGTTACCAGCAAAACACTCCTTAAATAACTTCCGATGAACACATGGGAACAGCGAGACAAGTCGATGAAGAGATCACATGGGTTGTGAACCCGATACTTTGGTACCATCCATCAAATTTTATGGCGAGCGAGTAGCAGATGAGTTCTCTGGTGTTGGTCCCTGTCAGTTGTATCAATCAACTTCATTGGTCTGCAAACAGTACGTAAATGTGATGTAACTTCACATACACAATAAACGCCCGTAGATCATGTTAGCGCTCGCAGCTCTGGTAACGCATGCTAACGGATACAAGATTCAGGCAGAAATCATCCGATTGTTTCGTATATAAAGACTCCAGATTAACTTTTGTTAGCCTTAAAATGTATTTCTCATTCTTAAATCATATAGAATGTAGAGTATACTATATTTTGAACTAGATATACATTTTACATCAGGTGATTTCATATTATTATTATATTCATTATTAGGTGGTTTTATATTATAGCGCAGTACCCCAGCCTGAAAAAAATCTCGCTATTCTTCTTTGATCGTTACCAAATCTGAGTGGAACACGCAATGCCAGCTATCAGGAATGGGCACACTTTCATAGACCGGAAATTGCAATCGGCCAAGTATGCTGTATGACCTAGATTGAGACATCCTACCCAGTCGCACGTCATTAGACACGGTTCACTGCCTTGGAAGAGTAAAAACAAAAAATATAGAAACAAGACCTGTGATGGAAAAATTTGTCCGCCAGGCGAAAACCAAACTACCAAACTGTTGTTTTTTGTCTAAGGAGCAAAACGTCAGGAGCATTCTTCAAGATGACAGAACCACTGTTCTAGCAAAGGAAAGTTATAGCAGCTGGGAGGACAACGGAATCAACCTGAATTGAACGCTAATAACTCTACCATCAGAATTCTGCACGTTATAGAGTAGTAGCTACAGTAGTAGGGCTACTTGAGGAGTAACTGAACACCATCAGAGTTCTGCTCATTATAGGGTAGTAGCTACTGTAGTAGGGCTACTTGGGGAGTAACTGAACACCTTCAGAGCTATGCACATTATAGAGTAGTGACTACAGTAGTAGGGCTACTTGAGGAGTAACTGAACACCAGTAGAATTATGCACATTATAGGTAGTAGCTACTGTAGTAGGGCTACTTGGGGAGTAACTGAACACCAGTAGAATTCTGCACATTATAGAGTAGTGACTACAGTAATAGGGCTACTTGAGGAGTAACTGAACACCAGTAGAATTCTGCACATTATAGGTAGTAGCTACTGTAGTAGGGCTAATTGGGGAGTAACTGAACACAATCAGAACTATGCGCATTATAGAGTAGTGTCTACAATAGTAGGGCAACTTGAGGAGTAACTGAACACCGTCAGAATTCTGCACATTATAGAGTAGTAGCTACAGTAGTAAGGCTACTTAGGGATTAACTGAACACCATCATAATTCTGCACCTTATAGAGTTGTAACTGTAGTAGAAGGGTACTTGAGGAGTAACTGAACACTATCAGAATTCTGCAAGCTATAGAGTAGTAACTGTAGCAGTAGGGCTACTTAAGGAGTAACTGAACACCATCATAATTCTGCACCTTATAGAGTAGTAACTGTAGTAGTAGGGCTACTTGAGGAGTAACTGAACACCGTCAGAATTCTGCACATTATAGAGTAGTGTCTACACTAGAAAGGCTACTTGGGGAGTAACTGAACACCAGCAGAATTATGCAAAGTTTAGAGTGAGACAATAACAAAAACTCAAATGATGCTACAGCTTACCATTTAAATTTAACAAAAAAGATGCAGTTGCGCCAAAGCAATGTACGAAATAAATATCTATACCAGACTCGAAAACACCAGGTGAATTATTACACTTCGTTCAAATCTTTATATATATATATATAAATAATTACACCGTTTTGTTTAAATAAAATGATATCATTTTTGCATGTTTATTTGACCATAGGCGTGGTAATAAAGGAGATGAAATACTATAATATAATAATACAAAATGAAAGGATTTTGCTTGATATAAGATTATAAGATTATTTAAAAAAAAACGATTTTGAATCGCGTCCACTTGAGATGTTTAGACGCCAATGTCTGATTTCCCTGGGTGCTGACAAAGCCCCGAAAACGATTTCTTGGTTGATATCCCCTCGATTTCAGTGCTTTAACTTGTTGTCATCTTCATCGCCGCCTTCCTGAAAGAACAAAGCCACAACTATGTGTCCCTTTGTATGTCTCTCTTTATAACAACATATGAAACATGTTTGTTAATTTTGAACAAAATTAAATTGCTTGACCAAAATCGCTAACCACCTTTTATATTTCCTGTCTCCAGATCATCACGGGCCTGGTCATCTACCCCCTGGTGTGTTTCCCCGGCGTCGTCGGCAACATCCTGACGATCTTCGTGCTCTCCAGGCGAAACATGCAGACCTCGACCAACGCCTTCCTCAGCGCCCTCGCGGTGGCCGACTCCATCAAGCTCATCAACGACATCCTCTACTTCTTCGTCATCGTCTTCATGCGCACGTCCACGCGCCTGGGCAACATGTCCTACGGGTACCTGTACCCCTACGCGCACTTCGTGTTCAGCCTTTCGGTGTGCGTGTCGTCTTGGCTGACCGTGTCGGTGGCCGTGGAACGGTACATCATGGTGTGCCACCCGACCCGCGCAAGGGCGATGTGGAGCAGGAGGCGCGCGGTCATTCTGTGCACGCTGATCTACGTGGTCATGACGTCTCTCGCCCTGCCGTCGGCGCTGAGGTACAGGACGATACGGTGCGTGGACAGGGCGACGAACGTGTCCAAGCTGGACGTGGAGCTGACCGAAATGTGGAAGAACAAGCTGTTCGTGACGTCATACACGTGGACGCAGAACCTCCTTCGCTCGATTATTCCTCTGATCGTGCTCGTCATCTTGAACACGTGCATCATATCCGCACTGAGGCGCACCAAGGCCAAACGCCGCAAAAATGCGCGCCACCGCGTGACCATCATGATGATCGTGGTGATCTTGGCGTTTCTCATCTGCATAACCCCGGACGCCATTCTCTCTACTGTTTTTGGGTTCGGCTACCACGAGGCCGGGTACCTTCCGAGGGGAATACGGGAGATCACAGACACCCTGCTGGCCATCAATGCCGGCGTGAATTTCTTGATCTACTGCGCTTTTAACCAGGTGTTTCGGAAGAGCTTTGCACACATCTGCTGTCCCAACACGCGTCAGACCAACACGTGGATGACGGAGCTTGACGAGTCCACATACAGACGGCTGTCGGAGGCCAAGTCACTCTTAATGTCCAATAACAATTCACCGCCACGCCAGGACACGCCCCCGACTATAGTCACCGATAACTCGCCGACGAGTTACAACGGTATCGCGAACGGGAGGGGCGGGTCGTTGGAGAATTCCTACGACGTCAAAGACGATCAGATCCAGGAGGAAAGTGAAACTGGAAACACGAAAGGATCCGACTCATCGTCCTCGGATACCTCACACCAGCACGGGGCGCAACAAAATAACTCTCACACACACCAGCAGCACCGAACGTCTTCGAACGGCCTGAAGAAATCACGAAACAGCATCAAGTGCAACCGCGCGAAGCACCGGGCACACGTCATGACGTGCAACGAGACGGTCGAGACTTTTCGGCACGGTCGAACGTCGGAGTCCTTCTCGGATTACAACGACATTGAGCCCGACGAATCGTCCGACAGCGGGTCGATCGAAAATGATGACAGCGGGACGGGCCAAGCGAACGTGCCGGCCGCCTTCTACAAGGCATCTCCCGGGTCTTCCTTCTACCAGAACCAGCTGATCAACAAGGTCTGCAGCTGCGTGAACGAGCGCCACGACGTGAGGACGAATTCGAGCGATTCGCTCAACGACGAGGAAAAACTCGAAAATCTGAGAACTTGCAACGGAGCACGCGTGAACCTTTCATGCGGCGGCAGCGACGCGAACGATTTGTCCAAGTACAAGCCCTGCCCCGACAAAACCCTAAAAGTCTGTTTCAAAGACAGAATTCAACCGCGGAGGAAGAGGCACGCCCTGAGCGTTTCCTTCACGGACAGCAAAGACATCAACAAGGATCCGAGTAACCCGCGAGGGGAAAACGATAACAGGGTCGGCAACCAAAGTTCGGGAACTCCCAAAGACGAGGAGCGATCGAGCCGAAAAGGAGGGATTCGGTTCGACGCCGTTGCCGCTATGGTCAAAGAGGTGCCTCACGCAGAAATCACAAAAGATGTGGGGGTCAAAGAAGACGGTGATGTCACGGGAAGTGTTAACCGCTTGAATAGCGGAGGGGAAATTCTTATGACGGATTTGTAGCAGCTAGAAACGTCTTGATGTCATTTTGTGTCATTATACAAAGTCGAATTGCTGCTAAAAGACTATGACATATACATAATGAAGTTATGTACTTTCCATGTGTTTAGTGTTTTTTTCTGCCATAAAGTTTTCATTTGAATTTAACTTATGTATGGCGGTCATTAAAAAAATCTCTTTTGGTTGTGATTATGTCCCCTGTACATTAACGGTGCCCTTGGGCTTTTTGTTTCAATTTTGGCCTCTGGTGAGGTCAAAGGGTGCGAACGAATACATGGAATGATCCGTTGACATAGGAACAGTTTTAATTGATAAGAACTTAGAAACATGTATTAAAAAAATTATTGGTGTCATGGAAGAGACTAAACCAGTTTTTCAAGCCATTTAGAATTGCGGAGAAAATGTTTCTTAATTTTTTTTTATTACACAAATCTCTATGAAATTATGTGTTATGTAAAATATTTGAATTGAGAACATGTTTAAGTCCGAATAAATGATTCAATATCATCCAACCATCTAAGAGGTCCGTAAAGAGATCTTGTGAAGTCAGAAAGAAAAAACAAAAATCTTAAATTCTCTGAACGAATGCGCCTAACAAATTAAATAGTTTTAGAGTAAAACATTAATATCTAATAAAAATAAATGTTTGTATGTACTTTTATCCATTTATTGTTGTAATCCAAAGTGTCTTTAAGATATTGTTTTTGAAAAAAAAAAGTTTTACTTCTCTATGACTTGACGTAGCATGAGGATGGCTTCTTTCGTGATGACTGATTTACGTTTGTGGAGCCTTCTTTGACTGGTTGCCATTTGTGATTTTTTTTATTTTTTTTTTTGGCGTTCGGGTTTTTTTTTTTTTTTTTATTTTTTTTTTTTTTTTATTTGAATTTAATTTGACTTTTTTTTTTTAAAAAAAAATTTTTTTTTTTTGTTTTATTTTTTTGTGTTTTTTTTCTTTTTTTTTTTTTTTTTTTTTGTTGTTTTTTTTTTTATTTTGTTTATAATTTTATTTTGTTTAGATATGAAATGAACTTGATATTTTTAATTAAAAAAAATATATGATTGATGTCTTAATTTTTTGTTATTATTTTTTTTTGTTGTTTCGTTTTTTTTGTTTTTTTTTTTTTTTGGTGTTTTTTTTCCCATTCAACTATAAACTGCTGAAATGGACATTGTAAAAATTCATGCAAAAAGAATACCTATAAATAGATGTAAGACTCCAATATAATATGGAGCATTATGAAATGCTTAGCTTTTGCAAATGTCGGTTTCATTATAGTACTTGACAGTTTAAGATGCGATGGTATTACTGATTTACCATAATAATAAACACTAGAGCATCCGCATTAAGGTTTGGTGGTCTGAAAGGCGATTCCGAGACACGGGATGGCACTCAAAACCTTAACCCTTAAGTCGCCAAACCACAACACCTTAGCACCTAAGTGGCCAACCCACAACACTTTAGCACCTAAGTGGCCAACCCACACCACTTTAGCACCTGAGTGGCCAACCCACAAAACTTGTGTACTGGAGTGGCCAACCCCCAACACTTCAGCACCTAAGTGGCCAACCCACAACACTTTAGCACCTAAGTGGCCAACCCATGAAACTTGTGCACTGGAGTGGCCAACCCACAACACGTTAGCACTGGATTGGCCAACCAACAACACCTTAGCACAGGATTGGCCAACCCACAACACTTTAGCACCAGATAGGCCACCAATATTGTATTCTGGGTTGTTTCGTCTTTTCTATATTATCTTCTGCTCCTATCTCAAAAATAACAAAACAAAAACAAACAGCAACAACTAAAAACCCTAGGTTTCTAGATGCAAGATCAGGAGTAAATACAGGTCAATTTAGGTCAAATCATCATAAACACAAAACAGCTCAATGAAGTTCTTTGTACTTGTTAATTTTCTGTATTTTTTTCTTTAAATTATAATAAAATTTAAAGATCAAATATGAAAAGTGTGCCATGTTTGCCGTGTGCTGACATTTTAAGATGAACATGAAATAAAAAAAATAAAACAACAACGTCTTCTTCACTCTGCAGACTTGTTGCCTTCACGTCCATTCAAATACATGTTTGATGTGTGGAGAGATCTGGGCGAGACGAACAATACTGAAGACGCATTCTGAGTGAACATACCAACACACACACACACACACACCTCTACATCTGGCTTGCATGCTGCTATGTTTGTTCTACGGGCCAGGCTGATCTAAACAAGTTGTGCTTTCACAGTTAAATCCAATACTCGACCAGATATGACGATTGTATTCTGTTGCAGCAAGGGCGTGGGTATGGTGGGGCGGTGTGGCTGTGGGAGGGTTTTCAGCGATATGTTGGCAATGTGAGAATATGGCTGAGAGGGGATGGCTGGGTCATACAGGTTTCCATTATCACGTGGGGAAAAATCAGCCAAAAGAAAAGTGGTAAGAAGAAGATATAGATCGACCCCCCACCACTCATGAATCTAAGTTAGCTCTAATTAGTTTCAAAGAATTCTCTTTCATATGGTATACATTTAATGGAGAGAGCAGAAGTGTCTACACAGGAAGTAGTGAAGGGGGGAGGGGCAAACAGTCGAGACCCATCTCAGTAATAGAGGGAGTAGGATAAAATTCCACCACCCACCCACATGTCCCTTGAATTTCTCCTGGAAACAAAATAAATATGAATAACAAAACCGTACGATTACTCAATATTTTTTTTTTATTAACGTTGTTTTTTTTTTTAATGATTTGTGTGGCAGGGTGGAATTTTATTTACGAGGGAATAAAATTCCGATAATTTTTCAGACTGAAACGTCGACTCCAACCCTCTTGTATGGAACGAGACATTATTTTTTAACAAGCAGCGACCCCATCGCTTGATCGATAAAAGTATTTTCAAAATTAAAATTAAAAAAAATATATATATATACTGGCTAACTCAACTTCATTTTTGGATAATCACAGGATACGATAAACCAATCTGCTTCAGAAGAAAAATTAGGTGCTTCCCGATTTTTAAAGAGATATCGCGAATCAAACGCCAAAAGCATAATTGGCATGAACCATGCAGTACAAAGTGTACCAAGTTTAATTGGCATGACCCACGCAGTACAAAGTGTACCAAGTTTAATTGACATGACCCACGCAGTACAAAGTGTACTAAGTTTAATTGACATGACCCACGCAGTACAAGGTGTACCAAGTTTAATTGGCATGACCCACGCAGTACAAAGTGTACCAAGTTTAATTGAAATGACCCACGCAGTACAAAGTGTACCAAGTTTAATTGGCATGACCCACGCAGTACAAAGTGTACCAAGTTTAATTGGCATGACCCATGCAGTACAAAGTGTACCAAGTTTAACGTCGAGGGAAGAAAAGGGGGGGGGGGTCGGCACGCATCGCTCAGGAGCACGATGGAGAAGGAGTTGTTTAGTTGACGCTAACGTAGTGTGGCCAAGTGCTCCTTGACGTGGTCCTCAAATTGCGTGCTGAGCTAAATTCTGATTAATTGGCATGACCCATGCAGTACAAAGTGTACCAAGTTTAACGTCGAGGGAAGAAAAGGGGGGGGGGGGGTCGGCACGCATCGCTCAGGGGCACGATGGAGAAGTAGTTGTTTAGTTGACGCTAACGTAGTGTGGCCAAGTGCTCCTTGACGTGGTCCTCAAATTGTGTGCTGAGCTAAATTCTGACGAACTAAATCAGTGTTAAGGAGTATACGTTTTTATTAAGTCTCAGCATAAATGAAAAGAAATGGCATTGACGACTAAAATTGTTTGATGGAAAAACTTACTATACCCAAGTGTTACCTGAAAGTATAAGTGGGATTGTATACCTAATTTCTTTATTTAAAAAAAAAAGTTTTTAATACTACTTTGATGTTTCTAGGGTAGTAAATTTTTAAACATGTTTATTTAACTAACAAGTTATAGCCAGCAAACCGTGTCGGTGGCAATGCGTGCAGTTAACATCGACGAAAT